TATTTGAGAGAGAGAATGAGAGAGAGAGCACATGAGAGGGGGGAGGATCAGAGGGAGAAGCAGACCCCCCGCTAAGCAAGGAGGCCGATATGGGACTCGATCCCGGGACTCCAGGATCATGACCTGAGCCGAAGGCAGTCGCTTAACCAACTGAGCCACCCAGGCGCCCTTTATTGAATATTCTATACCAGGAACCATTCCACTGAGTTGGGTGTGTATCCTGTTTCTGTGGCAACATTCCCTGGCACCTTGGATTGCTGCTTCGCTGCAGCATGGCACTGTGGGAATAGGATTCCCTAGATTTCCACTTTCTTCTGTGACACTAGTGATGATACTAGGGGCTTCTATGTTAGAGGATTTTACCTTGACTATGATATTCTATGATACACAGAATATTCTATGATATTCCAAGATATATGTAAACTTCTTTTCACTGTCTTTACCTAGAAGTTTATGCCACTTAATTTTGATCCTAAAGGGTAATAACAACCCAATGAATCACATTTATCAGACTAGTCTCAAAATGGTTTCTGACTCTTCCAGAAAATCTATCTCCTTTAGAGATACTTTATTACCTTTAAAGATATAAAAGGCTACACTGTACTCTTTGGAGAAAATTTTAAAAGCAACTCAAAAAAACTCTGATGAATAATCCACACAGCTGGGGGGAAATGTTGCAAGTGTTTTCAGTGGAAAAATACTCACTTGGATATATGAGTTCTACTGTGTGTATTAAAGTCTGTTATATTAGTTATAATAATAACCACATAGTATTAACACAGTGACATATCTAAAGAAGCACATTCTTTCTTCCTTCAGCAAATGTCTTCCTTCCCAATGATAATGTGTATGCAATTACTCATGCCTGATATCTTGATGCTATCCTAAACTTATCCTTTTCATTATCTAGTTAGCCAACAAGCCACACTGATTTTTACTAGAAAATATTTCTATTATCCATCTTTTTTTGATAATCATTGCCAACATAATCCAACTCCACATAGTTAATGAAAATCTTTGACTAAATTTATAAGCTTCTCAATCGACACTAGTGAGACTATCTTTGAATTTTTATCATGCAGTTCCTCCTCCAAAAAGTCAGAGTGGTACCCTAATTCCCTCTGCTTTATATTTATATGCTTCTATTCAGTTTTCAAGAAGGTCTTTACACTGATGTTACTACCATACCTAAGCAAGTGGGAGAAGACTGCATGCAGTAATCCAGTAAGTTCAAGATTTATTTTTGGTGCTACTTCTCTCATGGAACTTTCTCTAAGCACTGCCTCAAACTGATCTTTCTCTAGTCTGATTTACTACAGCACTCAATGATACAATATCATACAATGGAATCCTTCATTATTACTTCCATTAGTTGATCTTTTCTCACCAACTAGTCTGCCTCTGCTATCAAGGACTTCGTCTTATTCATGTATGTATGCTTTTTCTTACAGCTCTAACAGCAGAGCTGACTCAATGTCCTTCTTGAGATGGAAGGACATACAAAAGAACTTCTAAAGCATTCTTTTTTAGTTCAAAGTCTTTCTCCCACCAAACACTGGCTATTCAACAGAGAGGAGAGAAGTGAAATACCTTGGTGGCATAGACTTCATATTGCTCTCTGGCTCTTCAAATACATTAGGACTTGCATCAGGTGTTACCGATATGTACGGGGCAGGTACAGATGTTGAACGTAGATATCTCATTTCATCCTGGAAGAGGTTGTCATCTTGATAGCCCACAAAATTTTCATGATGATGCCTGCATTAAATCAAATCCAGTGACTTCAAGTATGATGGCACCATAGATACTTTTCACTTTTAATTTCTTTCATAAAAGTAAAAGCAGCACATTTAACTATAAGGGTGAAATATTAAAATAATCATAGATGTAAGTAGGAGTAAATAAAAGTCTGACAATTTCACACATAAATATTCCAGGTACCACAAACATTTCAAACCCAAAATTGAACTCATTTTCTTTTCTTTTGAGAACCTTTCCATCCTCTAGTGTTTTGGTGAATGATCCCACCAATTATCCAGGTGCCTGGGCCCAAGTATCTTGGAGTTGTGGTAGGCCAGTCCTCAACTGTGACCAGCTGTGACCACTCAGCCCTATGAATACTAAGTTTCCTCTCTTCTGACTCCCTATCATCATTGCCTTGGTTCAGACTCATGTTTCTTGCATGGACTATTGAAATACACTCACCATTTTTGGTAGGAACATATGTAAGAATCATATTTGAGAAAGATTAGACCCATGAAATGTTCCATGGGGTGGGGTGGGTGTGGGTGTCCATTCCCCAGAGGGCTAAAAATATAAAATCCATGATTATGGTACAGTGGCATATTCTTAAACATGTTTTACAATTTGATTCTTTCCTTTTCAAACTGAACAGAGAGTTGTTAACCTAAGTCTCCTAAGTCGTCTGACTGAAGCTAAAGATTTGTTACATTTGGCATACCTAATGATCTCCACCTCGGTTTCAAATGCATTTAGTATGACATTCTCATTTTGTTTCCTGTTCATTTTATCAAAATAATAAGTACAAAATTAAAAAAAAAACTATATAATTCTGCTATAGAGAGGACAACATTGCTAAAATGGAACTGTTGTTGGCAAGCCATTCCTGCAGGCAATTTCCAGAAATCTTCATTTGACAGCTGTCGAAAAAAAGTCTGAATCTGGTATATGAAAGTCTGTTTACAATGCCAGTGTATAATGTACGGAAGTATAGGCTGTACAACTCAAGGCCAATAGAGGAAAACAGTATACTATCAACAGGCTTCCCCCACCTTTAGTTATACCCTTTATGAAATTTCCATGTTTGAAGCAGAGTGATCTAACTGCCAATCAGTTCATGTATTTCCCTGTTTAATATTCCTTAACCGTTTTCCCTGTGGGATAAAATCCAAACTTAGCATGGGCTACAGAGCCCCACATTACCTGGTCTCAGGTAGCTACTTCTGGGGCATTTCATATGTTTCTCCCAGTGGCCAATGCTTTAACCAGCCTCTGATTCCTTAAATGTGCAATGCTATTTCATGTCTGTGTTCACACATGTGCTTTACTGTGAGGAACTGCTTTCCTTCATCACGTACTTGACTGATTTCTATTTATCTTTCAAGACTGCTTTCTTTCCTTGGAAAGATTCAGGTACTCTCCATCCTTCATGCTCTAAGAGCATCCTATGCATACTTCTATTAGAGAACTCCTCATAAAACATTTTAAATGTTTCCTTTACAGGTCTGTCTTCCCACCAGCGTGTGAGCACATGGAAGTCAGGATTTTATTACATTCATCTTGGTATCTTCAAGGTCTAGAACAAAGTTGGTACCCAGCTAACTAACATTTAAATGCTAACAGAATGAATACTTCAAAAAAAAAAAAAAAAGGAAGATTTCGATAGCAAATTGTTTCTTTCCACTTCAGCACTTCCAACTATTAATAGACTGAATTCAGCTTTCCAAAAAGTAAAAGATAGCTAGAGTCTTAGTTTCTATGACATATTTTGTATTAATAATACAAATTGATAGAGTATTTACATGTTTTTAAAAAAATCCTTACTACCATAAAGTGTGTACCCTACCAGTCATATATTGGTCAAGGCAACTCACAAAATAAATTCCTGGAGGTCTCTTTATTGTACACAAAAGGTAATGTAGTGTGGGTATTCAGAGCATGATATTAATCAACAATGGCTACTAATCCCAAGTGATTAAAAAAAACAACCACCAAGTTATATTACCTAGCTAATGTCTGCAGGTAGAGACAAGGCATTTTAACAGGAAGATCCTCGGAAATGCCCTCTTTCACGCTGGGAAGATGAGACTGAAATGGCTTTGTCGGATGGTAACACAGAATGCTTGGCTCCGCTGCGCTGCTCAGGGAGAGCAGGAAGAGCGCATTCGCCTTAATCACCTGGTGAGCTTCCATAGTGGGCAAGGCACGAGGAGTCTTGACTTGCATTGGTTTCCTCCTGGATTGTTTGACCTGGCAAAGAAAACTTTGCAGTGATCTTTTCCTACTTAGATTCAAATTTTAATTTCTTAGCCTAAGTATTGTGAGCTTCTAATAAAAATTATTAAACACTTATAGAACTATTTTAAAATAATAATAGTGATTACCAAAAATAACATTCACTTTATGCTTTTCCTGAGCTGTCTGAAATTATTTTATTTTGAACACAAACTATTTCTTTTCTTTCTTTGGGAAAATCTAAATGTAATTTTTTTTTTTTAAAGGGTAAGTAGTGTGTGTGTGTGTGTGTGTGTGTGTGTGTGTGTGTGTGTGTGGTGTGCACTGTATGTTCGGCAAAATTTCTAGTTAGGTGTGCCTCTAGTTCCCATAGACCTACAACATAATTAAGGGCTAAGACAAAGAGAGGAGATAAAGAGCAGAAAAGGAAAAGGAGAATGGAAAAGAGGGAGAGTTCAGAGATAAAGGTGAAGAGGGAAAGCTAGGTACATGTGTAGAGCAGCACACCATTAACAGTGAAGAATTACACAGGACACATTTGTCAGTAACGTATGCGCCACAGCACTGGTTAGTTGTCTTGCATCATCCCAAGGTATGATTTATTTTTGTAATTAAAAGTAACTAACCTAGTACAAATATTAAACCTGAATATTATTCCTGTTATAAAAGCTGATCTTTAATATCCATTCCGTGGAGCTATCTGATATTGTTTAATGATAAAAAGGGATTTTATAAGATTTATTCTTATCGCGAACAGTATAGCCAGAACAGAATAAAAATACCTTCTCCCTTGCAGCAGCCTGTTTTTCACGGAGATATTTTTCTCTACAGCGATCACATACCAGATACCAAGTGCTTCCTCCTATGCCACCATCACCACAGTTACCAGCCCATCCTCCACAAAAATGTCCAATGCTATTGTAACCTTGTCCACCGGCATACCGGCCACAACCTTGAAACAAGAGCAAAAATACACTTTAAGTGTCCTTAACAGTCTGATCCTTGATGCTTATACATGAATGATGAGTTACCTTTGCAAAGTAAGCAAAATACTGAAGAAAGTATCTGACTTTTTTTTCAGGCTATTAACTGCATCAGGAAAATAGCCCACTTGGCCAAAAAATAATCAATTAAATGATGCCTAAAATACTGGAGATACTCTCTCTATACAGGTAGAAAAAAAGAAATTTAAGATGGGGGTACATTTAGGTTTATTGACATATGCCAATAAGACTGGACAAAATATTCTGTAAGAATAATATATTTCAAGGAATCATGTATTTCACAAAACATTTCATGTATGATATGTAGAAAGAAAAAAAATTTAACCAAACTCATAATAGGTGAATTTTGGAATACTTATCAATTGTTATAGAAATCCTTACATTTACCTAAAATACAGTCTTCTGGGCACCTGGGTGGCTCAGTTGGTTAAGCGACTGCCTTTGGCTCAGGTCACAACCCTGGAGTCCTAGGATCGAGTCCTCTATCGGGCTCCCTCCTCAGCAGGGAGTCTGCTTATCCCTCTGACCCTTTCCCCTATCATACTCGCTCTCTCAAATAAATAAATAAAATCTGTAAAAAAAAAAATACAGTCTTCTGACTAAATAGTTGAGATCATTTCCATAGGAAAATGACCAAGGAAATCAGTATAGTCTAATTTAATTTGCAACTTTTAACAGAAAAACACTAAAATCAAAGAAGACCTAATACTGGGATCTTTCCTATGTGTATGGACCGGTCATTATTTCTGTTGTGTTAGATACCTTAACAGCACCCTTTGGGTAACACATAAAACATTTCAAAAATAAACAGTGTTTCAGAATGTGATACATTAAGATACCATTGTACTGAGTTGCCTTGCCACCATACTATCAGAATTTCTTTACCTATTTTCCACAAAACTGATACTGATGCACTTTAAAACAGTTTCCCTTTACTTTAACATAATTCATAGAGCAGCTCAAGTCAGAAGTGACTTAGTTCCCTCTTTTTTTTTTTTTTTTTTTAACACAAAGTGCTTATAGATTCAGTAATACCGTTTACCTGGGTGAGCCTGTCGCATGTGATAGGTCACTGGGTATGGATGGGATTCTCCACACAGCTCACAGATGGTGTCCTTCTCTGGTCCGCCCACGGCCAGCTGGGCCATCTCACCAAACAAATTACCCCTGGGTCGAACTTCTGTCTTTTCCTTTTTCTTTTTGTCTTTTTTGGCCTTCTTATTCTCTTTTTCACACTCTTTCTTTTTAAGGACTGCGCAAGAACCGGGACTTGGAAAAATCATATTCTGGGAAGCTGCTTTGATAGTAGCCAAAGAGATGTCTTCCCAAAAAGCCACTAAATGTTGTAAAGTTAAGGGAAGAGGAGATTTGGACTTCATTGGGTGGTGCATGGACATTTCGAAAGTGGCTTCGGTTTTCCCATCCTCACACTTTTCATGCAGAGGCGGTTCTTTAAGCATAGACAACACCTTATTTTTGTTGATACTACCCATTTTAGATATATCTGGTCCATGAGGTGCAATATTAAACATATTCAGTGCAGATGATATCTCCAATGAATGTCTATTTTTTAATTTGGTTTCCTTTTCTTCTGTAGGCTGTTGGCTATTTAAACTATTTCTTATAGGAGCATGTTCTTTGGAAAGTTCAGGATTAAATTTTAAGAACGAAGAACAGGCCATTGCATCATGTACTATGCCTTCATGCCACAGGAAAGAGGCAAAGACTGCCCTGGCACACTCAGCCACGGAAGGAGACATGGCTTGCTTGGCGGGCTCCAAAGGTTTGGATCCATCTCCTTTAAAGAGAAAGCTAGATTTTTCCTTTTTGGGCCTGGTGTGCCTATTAGCACATTTTCTACTTATTTTGGGGGATGCTCTCATTTCCTGTTCATCTTTCAGTGGTGCTTTTCCTATGCTGAAATGAACTTTATTGGAACTTTCATCGACACTCTTAAATTCACTGCTTTCGTCACAGGTGCTATCTGTTAGACTATTTGTTTTTAAAGTACTTGAAGTGCAGACCTCGACCACTTCACTGTGAAGGTTTTCTTGTACCACATGGGGAGAAGGAGCTCTATTTTCGGATCCAGGGGAATCTTTAGAATCCTTTGGTACCGTTTTTGGTTTTGGTGATGTTGATCGCCCCCTTAATGGTTCTGTGAGGGGCATTTTCTTCTTGCGTAGGGTATCTGGGTCAAGTGTGTAAGAGTCTGATTTGGAACGTTCCCGAGGAGGATCAAGTTTAGTTTTAACAGGAGCAGTGCTTTTTTGAGGTAGATTTTTATCATGTGGTGAGGAGGAGCGTGGAGAACTAGCACCAGATGGGCTAGACCTATTGGTTGGGAGAGTCTTTGGCTTAGGAGATGATGACCGAGAACCTGGTCCTGGGGATTCAGCTCTAAAGCTAGAAGACATCCTCCCATCAGATTTTAGTGTCTGCAAGGTGTTATGGTTGGGAGACAACGACCTACTGTGAGAGTCTGACCTCAACTTTGCAGCATCAGATTTCAACATAAGGGATTCACTAGCTGATAAGCCTTCTGTACCCCTTGGCTTCTTCTGATCAGCAGTAGTCCGGCTCATACGTCCATCAGGTTTAAGAGATCTGCTGTGTTTAGAGGACAGTTCTGATTTTCCTGATGTAGGGACTGGTCTAGAAGATGTTGAGATAGTTCCTCGGTCACCTGTATGGTCCATTTCATAGTGAAAATTGTTAATAAAACTATAATTTACTAACAATATAGCCACTAAATATTGAATAAAAACACAGCTAAAAAATTTATATTGTCATAGACAAAAATACTTGAAGAATAAGGGAAAAAAGGGAAATATTTCTTGTAAAATTTCTATTGCATCATTATACAACCATTTCCACCAAAAACTATTTTCATGGATGTACAACAGACTGAACAAATAATACCTATGCATCAGTATGAATTATCCATGCTATTTGAATCTCAGTGCCAGTATAATTATTCATTAGAATTTAAATTCAGGGACAGACCAAAAAGAAAAACCATAACTATTACTTTTCTTGAATAAGAAATTAAAACCCATGTATTTTAAAATATAAAGTAGTTGAGCTAAATTTCCAGTAGAGTCATACCTCACATCCTTATTAGGGTAATGGTACAGATCTTACTGAATTAGGAAACTGAATTTATATATAGATACACTTATTATTTTCAAGTACAGAAATACACACAATTAGGCCGATAAAGAGCTGCTTAGGAAACACTAATGATTGGATTAGAATTTATAATTAATATATGAATGCCTGAAAGTTATTATTTAATTACATGTAATTCAGGCAGTCTTATTGTTTATAAACAGATTGTATTCTAAAAGTTTATTTAGTTCATTAAGTTTAGTTGGTTAGAACTTAGAGCTGTGTCTTCTTGGAAAAAAAAATGGTGGGATCCTCAGAATTAGGAGTACAAGTCTGAAGCATGGGGCCCTGAAATAAGAAGTCAGGAAAATAACAGAAAAAAAGGATAAAAAAAAGTCTCTTTCTCAGGCAGAGCACTAGATATTTCCACAGGGACACCGTTTGTTTTTGGCATCCTGGCCCTCATGCAGTGCCTCTCCTTCCTCATGCTTTCCTTTGAGGCATTGGAGCCAGGCTGTCTTTGTCACCAGTAAGGGGTCAACCTACAACATCACCTTTCTTCCCTAAAATAAAAACATCTCCCTTTAATGCACATAATATTAGTTGTCAGGAGAAAAGCAATCCGATTAAAGTGATTCAAGTGGTAATAAAGACTGAAAACCCATAAAACTTGCTAGAAGTATTTGTATTTTTTGAAAAAGGGTATGTGGTAAATTGAGATGGATCTCGCAACTGGTTATATTGCAGGTATCTCTCTTTTTTGCAAAAGGGATGCAAACAAATTTGGATAATGTAGGGAAATGTTTTTTGGCTGGCTTGTGTGTGTGTGCATGGGCATGTGCAAGTGCACAGGTGTTTGTAGTCTACACTCTAGTTGTCTACAGGTCAAGACAGTATTGCCTAGAATCTGCCCTCCTAATGGAAGGTCCATAAGGACTGGTATTTTTGTCTGTTACTCTTCACTGATACAATGTCAAGAATGGGTCCTGGAATATAGCACATGCTCAATAAATACTTTTTTCTTCTGCTATTCCCAAATTTCAGATTCCCTGAAAATCCACTTTTTATAATTATGACTGCCAAGGCCACAGGGAAAGCTAACTGTAGCCACTACGATGTAAGGGTCAGATGCTTGAGAGTCTTATAATTCTGTAGTAAAATAACGAAATATGGCAAATGGCGTCTCTAGAGCATATTAATGAATGGAACAGTTATTTTAACTGCAACATAACAGTGTTCAGAATAATTATTCTCATTCTTTGAATGAGCAAAATATACTAAATATAATGCTCTTCAGTTTCTACAGTTCTTTATCATTCTATCATGAACTTCATTTATCATATGTAGTATGTGTTCTTTGCATAAAAATAGTGTAAGACACCAGGCTAATCTGAGGGAAAAGTGGTGAAAAAAATCACAATATATATATATAAAAAAAATTCTAGATACTGATGCTGCCTTGGTAGAGCACAGATAAAAAGAAGTAAAATCTTGACAAATAAGTGCTCTCAAACTGTGCAAAAGTAGTTTAGCAAACTGCTGCTCATCTTACCGATCTAATAGTAGATCCACAGAGCAAATTTTATAAACAAACTGTATTTGGTAGAATTAAGTATCAGTCTAGTCCTTTCCACTAATTTTCAATGTGTGATGTTTGCAGCACTAGTTTTTGTTACTAATTTGACAGCTGGAAGTGCTTTCACCATCACATTTATTTCAGAAGCTGAACGATATGTAACAGTAAAACCAGGCAAATAAGTAAACAGTATCTCAGTTTGCCAGTCCTTTCTCTAAGAGATCAGTTCATGAATCGAAACAGGTTTGCTTTCTAAATCAATGGTGTGCAATTCCTCATAAAGGGACATCTCTGTGGTTGGCTGAATAATGGAATCTTACAAATATCAGGAACACTACTTGTCACATGTGAGCAAAAATGTTTGCTGTATGGAGAGGGTACAGGCGCCTGACACTTTGTTTCTTTGCCTCTAGCAGTGGTGAATATTTTCTCAAGATCTGTAAGTGGTCACAGCTACATACCTTTTGGGAGTCCAAGTATATAAATAATGCAGTTATTTCTACCTGAACTGTTAACTGCCAAATTATAAACAAATCCTTTTGAAAAATTTACTTTTCCAAAATGTGTTTCATATAGTTTTTAAAAAGAGCGTCATGTTTGTTAAGTATCGTAGACCCATGTGCTGCTAATTGATGTTTATTTTCTTCATTTGGGTTTAAAAAGTTTTGGAGCATGTAGTAAGTATTAGGAAAAACTGTCATGTTGTAGCTGCTTGAAATATCAATAAATATAAGAAATATCAATAAATATAAAATATTTAGAGCATATATAATACTTTCACATTCATCACTTAATTTAGCTTACTTTTTTATATTTATCGTATGTAAGTTTAAGTCATAGGAGGCAAAAACTGTCTAACCTCAATGGAATTCTGAAGAAAAAATAATACAGGGCGGGATGGAAATTTAGTACATTCAAACAAATTACTAAACATGTTAAATGTTACATATCCATTCACTAATGACCTGTATAATTTTTTTGTGCCAAAATCATAAATCATCAGGTTATGGGATCCTACACTATAATTAACATACCATAATGTAATACTCTATTGGGCTACGCCATGCTATGTATCAGGTCACACCACACTATATACTGTAGAGATCAGGTTCTACAATACTACTTATTATCCTATAGGAATATATAGTATCACTGTCAACTGTGAAAAGGAGAAATGTAAAAACGTCTCATCGATTTCTCAGAAAAAGGAAAACTACTTGAAAAACTTCTGCAATACATTAACCACTGGTGCAAAAATAACTTGGTAAAATTTTCTTAAAATACAGGATTTCAAGTTTAATTAAATATTACTTTAAGACAAAAAAATGAGTAGGCATCTATAGTCTTGTAAAAGACCAAAAGCGTATTTTTAAACTACCTGAAATTTTACCAGTTGTCATAGTAGTTTGAGTATTTCTAAATTTAAAATCTTAAAACTAAGTAACTAAGAAAATGCTATAAGGAAGACTCAATGCCAGACAGGACATGTAGGTTTAGACCTACATATCTACATATGTATATCTATCCTGATACCTAAGTTAAACTAAAAAACTTCAACTTAATTATCAAAGTGTTTTTCATAAGAAACTGAAACAGAAAAATGATTTAACATTCCGTAGCAGAAAAATAAGTTTAAGACTAACCCTGTCACATGAGATACTATGTTCTTACAGATCACAATATGCTTTATGCCTTACACATATATACCACCTTGTTCTGATAATACTGACTTTACAACCCCCAAATCAGGCACTTCTTTCTATATACCTATTTTGTTTAAGACCTTATATAGGTCTGAAATTAAGTAAAAACAATATTTAACCTATAAATATAACAACCATGCATATCAATAGGATAATTAATAATATAATATTGAATAGATACAACACAAATTACCCCAAAATATCAAATTTTAAATAAAATGATAAACTTTAATCTTAAAAAAATGGAATGGGATGGAAATGACTGAGGTGAACTAATAAAACTTTATTGAAACCTCCTATGTTCACTACGAATGGCCCATCCATGAATGCACGCATACCCACCCTTGAGTTTGTGAGACAGAGATGAGAGAGCAGAGGCAGGCCCAGCTACACCATAAGTTTTGTAAATGCGCTCGCGAGAAGCAAGGTTGTGAGATGGAGATTCTATAGTGGAAAACATTGGCAAAGAAGCAGCACAGATTCAATGGAAAAAAAAATTCAGCAGAGAACACAAGCAGAAACAAAGCATTTCAAATGGTATGCACAATCACCTTAGTAAAAAGTTTATATTTTGCTAAATTTTCCAACAGGTTTATATTTCTCTAAAATTAAAATGGAAAACAAAGGTCAAATTGATTTAAATTAATAAAGATAGCTCCAAATGCATTAAAAGTTAAGTAAGGCTTATTGCTCTCATAAACCAAATATGAACATTCCTTTTTAGACTAATGTTTCTTTAACTCAGTTTTCTTTTCTTTGGTGCTCATTTACTTATAAATAAAAGTTTATAAGTAAATTTTTTCCTTTATAAATAGTGGGAGATACAGAAATATTACTTACAGTTTAGCATAGCTACTGTCACCTAGTTTTCTGTATGGACACATGACTATAGGATTTTTCCAGTATGTATGGAAACACTTACGGTTGACTACTTTTCTAAGTCCACCTTTGGTGGGAAATATTAGTGCTACTGTTCTGTAGAGCCTATTACTGAGATACCAAATTTTGTTTATAAAAAGTTTTGTAACACAAACAAAGCAAAGCAAATTTATAAGTCACTGAAAAATGTTAGACACATTAATGATTTACCATGCAGAAAATGAAGTACTTAAATTATCTTTTTTCCAAATAATTAATAGAACTTCTAAATTGTAGTCTTTTAAAAGTAGTATCTTAAAAAAACGCTCTATCTAAATCTGAAAAAAAAATCCATTTTATTTAAAATTTTAACTCATGGCAATGAAAATAAATGTAATCAGTTGAGCTAAAATAAATTCAGGTAGTAAGGAGATAACTTTCTTGTTACTGAAATAAAAAATTGGATACAACATACACTTTTCTCAATGCAGAAAAAGTAATAGTTGACTGATTTATTAGTGTGGCCAAGATTAAACATGAACTACTCATAAGCCAAGAAGTCCTTCCATGCAAGGTACTGACTATGCATTACGTGTCAGACACTGTTCTAGGAATTGAAGATAAAATGATGAACAGAAATAAAGTCCATATTCTTATGGAGTTTATCTTCAGGTAAAAGGAGAGGCAACAAACAAATATATACTAGATCAAGTGGTGATGAACTTGGGAGCCACAAGCATGCAGATGCTAAGTGACATTCCATGCCTGGAGAGGACCAATTAGGGAGTGAGGTCCAGAAGAGACAAAGCCCTGGGACATTCCTAGGAAGAAAGAACAGAGGAGGAAGCAGAAAAGAGAAATGAACAGTCAATGAGGTAGGAAATATCCAGCAGAAGGTATTTCAGGGAAAAAAAGAGGGATCAACTCTGTCATACACTGCTGACAGATCAAGTACAATGAGATCTTAGCACTGACAAACAAAAGTGACTAGAGTAATTTCTGTGAATAAGGATGACTGCAAGAACCCCTTGCAGTGGTTCAAGAGAGAAAGGTAGGAGTGCATGGAGAGATGGGGCATACACGCCCTCAAATCATCTTCATCTAAGTTAAAAAAAAAAATCTTAAATTTTTAATGTTTTTGGGCAACCTTCTTTTTGAAATCTATAAAATCTCAAAGGTACCAAGCACTGCAAAAGGAATTCTTCTGCTATTTAAATCTCATATAATACAAAGTCTGCAACTGTCACTGAAAATATCTGTTAGGAGGGTACCAGCTTTCGAATGGAACAGTTAATTCAAGGGGAATTCAAACTGCAAATGTAAGGATACAGTCTTGTGGCTTGCTTGCTAAAGTCTGTGAAGACAGGGTTTAACAGGAGGACACAGGAGAAGGAATCAGAATACTATCTTAATTGGAAGCACCTGTAAACATAAATGTGAAAAACAAGGCAATTTGTAGGGTAAGATGTTAGAGGTTTAAGGACAAACTCCTGGAAAAGGTTTAGAAGCCAGAACAGCTCTGAAGTCTTTTCAATATGTTACAAAGCCTAGAGAGATTGAATTCCTAGGTATGATTCACAGCGAACAAGAAACATTTTTTGAAAGTCTTAAATGCCTAAAGAAATTAAGCTGTGACTACACACAACACTTGTTTTATGCATTTAATTTTTATAAAATTTGCTCATATTTGAACATAATTTGATATAGTTAACTTTTTAAAAGATGTGTATTTTTCAATTTAAAAAGAGAAACAATCCTTAAGACATACATTGATATCTATGCACAAAAGAAAGTCAATCAACTTACAGGCAATTTGTTGGAAACGAAATAATCATGTTCTTTTTAAAATCTCACTTTATAGGAAAAACAACCAATTATTAAATTTGCCTCGGTGGAATTTTGATTGTTTTGGGTGCAATATGTAGTTCACTGAAGAGAGTATTAAAACAATATAAAAAATGGGATTTTTCTCCGGTACTTATTTGAAGTCAATGTTGTGTGTTTGGTATAAAATATCCCTTTATTAACAGTACGGTTCTTTATGTGTCATTTATTCTTTGTTTTCTTTGTTTTGGATCCCAACTATTAAGTTCCCTGGGGAACTTAGTTCATTTTCTGATCACAGCAACTCTGAGTTCACTGTAAACTGTACTTAAAAAAATTACTCCTTAGGTACTGATAATCAAAAAAGCAGTATAACTTTAATTTTTAATAAGGAAAACATTCTTGTTTCAGTTTAACAAGGACAAATTGTGGTTTTGCTGTAAATATTAGAACCTTGACCTTGTCACCGGGAACATACACTGGAAGAATCAAAGAATATGTCACCATCTGGTGGCAGCACACAAAACTGCAGTTCTGGGATTTAAAAAGCGGCATATACTCCTTTTCATTGTTAAGTCAACAATTAAGCAATGATCAGAAATGTTAAACGGAATATTAGAAAGGACACTATGTTGGAAATACATTATATCTGAGAGGTCAGGTGTCTAATCACATCTCCTATGTCACTATCCCTGATACTCAGACGGGAAGTAATATTGATGGACTTTTTCCCACAGAACATGCTATAGGAGACTACAAATAACTGGCAGAAATAGTCTTCAGCATCTATTTTTGCTTTTCGTCTAGTTCTCAATCTTAAGGAGATTTGAATTGGATTTTATAGTTTCAGTAAAATTACTAGATGTAATCCTAACAGATATTTGAAAGAATTTGAGGAAGTTTTATAAATAAACCTATGACAATGCTTAAATTTCACTGTATTCTGTCCATGCTTATACATACCTACATTGATGTGTGTGTATATATGTATTTTAAAATATAAGAAAGAAATTAATTCTATAGATCCTTCACAAGCAATGATCATAAAATTTCATTGAGCTTATGGTAGAACAACAGGGACAGTGTTCCTGACTTCCTTCACCTGATTTAAATCCCAGTACTGTACATTTGTATTCTGCTCTGAATAGAACTTCAGATATTTTTGACAGTATAGACGCCTTCCATAGGCAGTAAATGGTTAAGTCTAACTTGATATTCTGGAAATTATTTTAAAATTATCTATTTTTAAAAATATAAAAAACTAGTTTATTGGTTCTTGAGACAATATATAAATTAAACATTCAACCTAGTCAAAAGATGTGAGTAACTGAACAATATGCAGATAAAACAATTATTATAATTAAGTGTAATAATTATTCCCACTTCTGTCTATTAATAGTTTGGAGGATTTAAAATAAGGTGATAGTAATAATTACAAACTCTTAGCTAGTAGCCGTCTGGATGGACAGCTTTAGATGCAGTATCACTGCACAATCGGTAAATCCAGAATCCTGGTAAATTTATCAGGAAAAAAGCTGAATTATGTGAATACTAAAGGAGCTAAAGAAATGGAATAGGAAATAAAATTTATTCACATAAAGGTTAGTATACTAAATGAATTATAAAATAATGAAAGCTAGAACAAAATTTCCAACTTAAAGATAAAACAGAAACACGCGTTTCATTAGAATATAACATTAACCTACATGATAAGAAAGTTGGAAGGAAGATGGATGAAAATCTGTAAGGTGGATATAACCCCCAAAACACAATGGGTCTCTAAATAACTTCTAGACATAACTGCACCTGCATAAAACATACTCATAGCATATTACTGAATATATAGTAAATTCCAAGTAACTATGGTTAAGGGATATAACATTAGGGAAAAGCGTATCATTTCAGAGTTTTTGATGGCTGAGATAGGAAAATTCTGAGCAAAATCTGATGTGTGTGTATCCTGGGCCTTAGAAAGAATAACTTCAAAAAACTCCATGAAAAGGTTAAGTATTACTCCTTCAGCGATAATGTGAGGCACAAGAGGGCTGGGGATGCTCTAAAAAATAAAAATCTGGCTCTCCACAAACTTATTAGTTGCAAAGCAAAAAATGGTAACTATTGATCAGAGAAATCAGACACTTTGTTCAGGTTCACTATAACCATGTCCTGTCTTAAGAAGGATACAACTTATGTAGCACAAAGACAGCTAGAACTGAAACCAACACAAAAAGCTTTTAGAGAAGATACTAACTTTCGAAGAAAGAAGAAAAGAGCAGTCACATAAATCCAAGGCTCCATCTGTGCCATACCTTCAAGGTAGGCAGGTAAGTAAATGGACAAATTTTGTGGTATGATTACAATCCAGGATAGAAAGGACCTCTCAGTCTTGGAAACAAAGCTGGCTTTTATACACTAACATTCATAGTAATATCTGAAAATAGTGTTACTATATGAAGAATCAATCTCAAGACAAATAATAAAGTTATGCTGTAAAATGTACACTGAGAAGTAGCTAGGAAACCTCAATTGTCCCTTTCCAAATTCTTTCTTGCCATTCCTTCCACACTGAGAATAAAACTGATCTCTCTCTCTGGCTGTGATTTCTTCCAACCTTCCTTGGTGCATAAGAGATGTTAACTGCTTGCATCAGAAGGCAATAATGATATCCTCAGA